AAACCAGACAAGGACACCACAACAAAAGAAAATTACAGGCCAATAACACTGATGAACATTGACGCAAATATCCTCAACAAAATACTAGGAAACCAAATAGAACAATATGTTAAAAAGATCATACACCATGATCAACTGGCATTTATCCCAGGGAGGTAGGGGTGGTTCAACAACCACAAGGGAATCAAAGTGATCTACCACATTAACAAAATGAAGAATAAAAATCACATGACCATCTCAATAGATGCAGAATAAGCATTTGACAAGATGCAGCATCCATTTATGATAAAAATTCTGAATAAAATGAGTTTAGAAGGAAAGTCAATCAACATAATAAAGGTCATATACGACAAACCCACAGCTAATATCATATTCAATGGAGAAAAACTGAAGTCTATCCTTTTAAGAAGAGGAACCAGATAAGGATGCTCACTTTCATCACTCTTATCTAACATAGTACAGGAAGTCCTAGCCAGAGCAATTAGGCAAAAAGAAGAAATAAAAGGGATCCAAATTGGAAAAGAAGCAGTGAAACTGTCACTTTTTGAAGATGACATGATTTTATATGGAGAAAACTCTAAAGAATCCACCAAAAAACTATTAGAAATAATAAATGAATACAGTAAAGTTGCAGGATACATAATCAACATACATAAATCAGTTACATTCCTATACACTAATAACGAAGTAGCAGAAAGAGAAATTAAGAATACAATCACATTTAGAATTACAAGAAAAAGAATAAAATATCTAGGAATAAATTTAACCAAAGAGGTGAAATGCTTGTACAGTGAAAACTATAAAACATTGTTGAAATAAATTGAAGACGACATAAAGAAATGGAAAGATATTATGGGCTCTTGGATTGGAAGAATTAACAGCTAAAAGATCCATACACCCTAAAGCAATCTACAGACTCAATGCAATGCCTATCAAAGTTCCAACAACATTTTTCACAGAAATGGAACAAAGAACCCTAAAATTCATATGGAACACCAAAGACCCCAAATACCCAAACCAATCCTGAGAAAAAAGAACAAAGCTGGAGGCATCACACTCCCTGATTTCAAAATATTCTACAAAGCTATCGTAATCAAACCAGCATCATACTGATACAAAAACAAACACACAGATCAATGGAACAGAATCGAGTGCCCAGAAATAAACCCACACATCTATGGACAGCTATTTTTCAAGAAGAGAGCCAAGAACATACAATGGAGCAAGGAAAGTCTCTTCAATAAAAGGTTTTGGGCAAACTGGGCAGCCACATGCAAAAGAATAAAATTAGACCATTATCTTACACCATACACAAAAATTAACTCAAAATGGATTAAAGACTTGACTGTAAGATCTGAAACTATAAAACTTCTAGAAGAAAACATAGGCAGTACACTCTTCAACATCAGTGTTTAGCAGCATTTTTTCAAATACTATATCTGACTAGGCAAGGAAAACAAAAGAAAAAATAAACAAATGGGACTACATCAAACTAAAAAGCTTCTGCAAAGCTTTTTCCTTTGCAAAGGAAACCATCAGCAAAATGAGAAGACAATCTAACAATTGGGAGAAGATATTTGCAAACCATATATCTGATAAGGGATTAATATCCAAAATATATAAAGAACTCATACATCTCAACAACAAAAAAAGTAACAATCCAATTAAAAACATGGGCAAAAGGTCTGAACAGACATTTTTCCAAAGATGGTACACACATGGCTGACAGACACATGAAAAGATATTCAACATCACTAATCATTAGGGAAAAGCACATCAAAACTGCATTGAGATCATCTCATGCCCATCAGAACAGCTATAATTAACAAGACAGGAAATAACAAGTATTGAAGATGATATGGAGAAAAGGGAACTCTCATACACTGCTGGTAGGAATGAAAACTAGTGCAGCCACTATGGAAAACAGTATGGAGATTCCTCAAAAAATTAACAGTAGAACTATCATATGATCCAGCTATCCTACTATTGGGTATTTATCCAATGAACATGAAAATATGAATGCATAAAGATATATGCACCCCTATGTTCGTTGCAGCATTATTCACAATAGCCAAGACTTGGAAACACATAAATGGCCATCAAGAGACGAAAGGATAAAGAAGATGTAGTATATATACACAATGGACTATTACTCAGCTATAAAAAAGATGAAATCTTGCCATTTGCAACAAGACGGATGGACCTTGAGGGTATTATGTTAAATGAAATAAGTCAGAGGGAGAAAGTCAAATACTGTATGATCTCACTCATAAATAGAAGACAAAAACAACAATAACAACAAACAATCACATAGAGACAGAGATTGGTTTGGTGGTTACTGGATGGGAAGCGGGGAAGGGAGAAGGGTGAAAGGGGTGACACGACACATTTGTATGGTGATGGATGATAATTAGTCTTCGGGTGGTAAACAGGATGTAGTCCACAGAGAAATAGAAATATAATGATGAACACCTAAAATTTACATAGTCATAAACTAATGTTACATGAATAAAAAAATGATAATAAAAAAGGGGGATAAAAGAATAGCAAAACTTGTCATTGAGGTGGAGCTGCTCACTTTTCTAGCAATTTATTCTACTTAAGAATATGATTGTCATCATTTGTTTGCCAAGTTCTATAAAACCTTCATCTGGAATGGTTGCTTCAGGGAATGCTGGGTAAATATTTTTTGTTTCAATTTGAACACAGGCATAATTCAGTGGCTTTCTATTTAACTTTAACTAGCATTTTTTAACGTATCTTTACCTAACACAGTTTCATTTTATTAGCAGCATAAAAACAAACTTGCACTATAATTTTTCCACTGACAATGTTGCCTACTTGAAGGCATCATAAACTTATAAGCACAGATTTATAATTCATACATTATTTAAAAAGAAGAGACCCTTAATACATTTTATCTGCAAAAGAAAATAATATATTTGAATTAAAAATTATGTTAGTAGAGAAAATGATTCAACCATGTATGCAGAAGTATTCTGACCATATAACTGGATTATAATATTTAAATGTATGAAATCTCATTGACTCAGAAAATAAGTAATAAACTACTTCTAATCTCTGCTAAAGGGAACATTTCATAAGGTAAATCAGATAAAGAAAACTAAGCATTAAATGCAAATACTTGTGAGAATGATAGGGAATCAGACGTGTATTAAAACATCTTATTACAGAATAGATAAGATAAACTTAAGAACATAATCCAAAGGACAATATTCAAAAGCAACAATGTGCAAATTATCTGTTTTCATTTTATGGTAGCTATTAGACTGCTTATTTTTCAGGTTATAAAAATAAATGATAAATGGTTCTACTTATTTTAAGAGTATGTAATTTGAGAAAGTTAATATCCAAAGGAAAAATACTGTTAACCAAAGGTCAGAACTGATAAATGGATTAATAGCAGTTACTATACAATAAATTTAGCATTTAAAAAGCAAATATTGGGCAATTTCATCTTACTAGTGAGAGAAGAAACTAGGAGAAACTCTCATAATCTTTAACCCATTCCTTCCCCAAATCTCATTAAAAAGAAAATAAAGAAATCAAGTATAAACACAGAAGTGAAGAGAGAACAGGAGATGGGAGGTCAGCAGACAATAGATGGCAGTCAAATTTTGGAAGGAGGAAAGCGGATGGAAGTGAGGTTACTGAGTTAGCAGAGAGACACTTCTTTGCCCTGGGAGCAGAAGGGTATTTACCAGTAAGATGGGAACCGAGTTCAGATGCACCATCCCTACTAGGCTTAGAAATTAGTTACCTGGGACCTTGGAAGTCCAGGGCACAGGGTGGGACTAAAAGCAGGAGGATTGTTTTGAAATCCATATAAGGAAATTCAGACTCTCAGATCCCAAGGTCCGCTCAGCCAGCTAATTAATCGCCCTTTCCTCACCCTCACAGAAGACAGGAAGTTTACTTCCCAAAAAGATTCAGGGACGGCCCCTGAGGGGGCGGGTGAAGCACTACACTGAAAGCCGGGGTTAAATGTACTTGTCCATGCTGAATGAGAGCAGAGAAATTGTTTCTGGGGAAATGAGGTGGCCCACACAAAAGATGTAGATTGTGACTGACATGTGGATGTCCTAAAAAAAAAATTGCTTGTCTCTGTCCATTTACCCAAAGATGGCTCCCTTCACACACACACACAGACACACACACACACACACACACACACACACAGAGTTTCCCATCAGCCTTTTCTATACTGTTTCGTCCTGAGGTCAGGTCCCAAAACAACAAAAAACCTTGGAGGAAACAGACAATGCAAGAATAAGAAACTAAATGTGTGTATGCATGCCTGTATTTCTGTATGTGTATCCTCAGACATAAAAGAAGAAAAGATATTGCATCTGTGTAATTTGATCAGAAGCACTTAGAAAATGGGAAAAATTCTTAGAAATTAAAATAGCTGTTCAAAAAAATCCAATATAATGGCTGAAGAATTCTCTCAGGGTAAAGAAATAAAACAAACAGATGGAGGGGCCAGCCCAGTAGTACAGTGGTTAAATTCACACGTTCTGCTTCAGCTTCAGCGGCCTGGGGTTTGCTGGTTTGGATCCTGGGTGCAGACCTATTCACCACTTACTCAAGCCATGCTGTGGCAGGTGTCTCACATATAAAATAGAGGAAAATGGGCACAGATGTTAGCTCAAGGCCAATTTTCCTCAGCAAAAAGAGTAGGATTGGCGTGGGGCTGGCCTGGTGGCGCAGCATTAAGCTCGCATGTTCCGCTTTGGTGGTCAGTAGTTCTCAGGTTCCGATTGTGGGGTCGGACGTGGCACCGCTTGGCAAGCCATGCTGTGTCAGGCATCCCAGATATAAATTAGAGGAAGATGGGCATGGATGTTAGCTCAGGGCCAGTCTTCCTCAGTGAAAAAGAGGAGGATTGGCAGCAGATGTTAGCTCAGGGCTAATTTTCATCAAAAACAAACAAACAAACAAAAAACAAACTGATGGAAAACAGAAGACCAAAAACTTACATGTAGAAGAGATTCAATCCAGGAGATCACCTTCGGATTAATGGGGGTTCCAGAAAGAGAAAAAAGAGAAAACAGAGGGTCAGAAATGATCCAAGAAAATAGAGTACCATTTTCCAGTGCTGAACGCATGCATTTCTGGATTTAAAAAATCAGAGCACAGGGGCTGGCCCTGTGGCGAGTGGTTAAGTTCGCGTGCTCTGCTGCAGGTGGCCCAGTGTTTCGTTGGTTCGAATCCTGGGCGCAGACATGGCACTGCTCATCAAACCACACTGAGGCAGCATCCCACATGCCACAACTAGAAGGACCCACAACAAAGAATATACAACTATGTACTGGGGGGCTTTGGGGAGAAAAGAGGAAAAAAAAATAAAATATTTTAAAAAAAATTAAAAAAAATCAGTGCACAGATGAATGAAAAAAGGCCCACATCAAGATATAATATTGCAAAATTTCAGAACACCAGGTTGAAAGAAAAAATTGAAAAAGCTTTTAAAAATAACCAGCCAGATACAATAGAGGCTATCAGACATCTCAAAAGGAAGGAAGGTAGACAAGAATAGAATGAGGCATTACCTTTAAAATTCTGAGGGACAATTGTTTTTAACCTAGAATTCTATAACCCGCTATATGATCAACCACATGTGGGAATATTAGAAAGACTTTTTGAGACAATGAAGATTTCAAGGAATTTACCTCTCCATCAGTCTTTCTCAAGAAGCTAGTGAAAAGTGTTGTCCTTTAAAAATAATTAGACATGAGATTCAGAAAACAAGGGAGAGGAAATTCCCAGAGCAATGATGAAGAGAAGTCCTGAACAACAGTGTGCTACAAACACAAGGGAAACCAGCTCCACTGGAACAGTGACTGGAGGGCCTGTCTCCGAAGAGAAAAAAGGATTGCTAGATTCCTTTCTGGGTCTGACCTTATTGAAGGCAGTCTATAAGTGCTCTCAGAGAGTCTGCACTGAATTACTGTTAGTTGCACAGGAAAATTAACAAATGAGAAAAATGAAGCAATTATTGGCTCCACAAAAAAAAAAAGTCAGAAAAGAAAAAAATATGTAATTGTAGTACACTAAAAGGATTATCAATGATCGTTTATATAGTTACACAAATACTGAATATTGATTTAATAAATACATGTGACATAAGTTTTGGGAGGATGGAGGAGAGAAAAAAATGTATATAAAAAGGGGTGGAGATAGACAAGAAGTGAGATTTTCTCACCATCCTCATTTTCTGTAGCAGGAAGACAAACTATAACTGGAATACAAATATTAGAAAACAGCAATATGGTTATATCACTTATAAATCTAAAAATACACATGAGAAGAAACAGCTACAAAGGAGTTGAAATTAGGTCCACTCTAGGGAACAGGGATGGAAGAACGGGAGTGGTAAGTCAGTAGAGAGCTTTTAAAAATAATAATAATAGGTCTTGTATTATTCTTTGACTTTTAAAACTATGATCATGTACAACTTTCATAAAATACAAATACATTTTCTATAGAAAGCTAACATCTAGTAAAAATCCTATAATCCACTAATGGCCAGCTCTTTTCAATGCTTGTGTGGAAGAGAGTAATCCAAACATATTTTGACACTGCATACCAAATATCACTTGATTCATCTGATTTCTAGCATTTCTATGATGGCAGTTGCAATTTACAGTAGCTTCAAGATGGCTCTAAGACAATTCCAAAGCTTTCAGCATAAATTGGCCCTCTAAAACACTGTGCATAAATTTTCTCAGGCTCAAGCTGACCAAATGGCAATCAAAATGAAACACAAACAGGACGTTAATATCACTTATTGCTCAGTGAGCGTGGGAGAAAACAAAGCAAAACACAACCACCACTCGGCCTTACAGGGAACAGTTTCCCATTGTGATGATTATGTGTTGTCAAAATGTATTAATTCAAATGAAGAGACAAATGCATATGTCTGTTATGTGCCAGGCACTGTGCTAAGTATACAGGAAATATAAAGATGCATAAAATCCAGTCACATCATTTAAGGAGTTTATAATCAAAGAAATTAAAACGCTAGAAGGTCTCTTAACTGACCTCCATTTATGTGACTTCCTAGACTAAGCCTCACTAGCCGTTTCCTCCTTTAAACACGAAGACTGATGTCCATAGCATGTTGAACACTCAAGCTTAGGACTGCTCTTCCACCATTAGCTTCTTTCCCTGCCAGCTGAGTCACATGCCTATGTAGGAAAGGAAAAAAATTCTTCTACCCATTTAGGTTCAGTAGATGGCCCTGCAAAATAAACTGACAAATTAATGAGAAAACCAAACAGAATTTATTAATGTGTACATCACCAATACACATGAGAGAACTCAGTGTTGACTAACTCAAAAAGGTGGTTAGAACTTGGGCTTACGGAAGCATCTTAACAAAGAACAAGAATTTGGTAGAGAAGTGACAAGACAAAGGAAAAGGGGTTTAGGCTTTAAGGGCAGCCAATTGTAGGAAAGTAAATATATGGGCAAACTAAGGGTAGGTAAGGGCTAGTTAGCAAGGTTTGTGGGTGTAGACTCTTTCTCTGTGCCATCTTGTCTCCAGTGATGAGACTGTTATCCTCTTCTTGGCATGAGAAATAGGGGAGGGGACATCTTCACAAGGAGAATTTATGTTCTTCTTTTAGAACATATTTATCATTATATAAATTTGATTAAATATTGTAAAAATCAATAAAATTTGATTGTCAAATTAAAATGAACCAGTTGAAAGGTTTGGGAAGACTTGCTAAAGGTGAAAAGTTGAAAAAATGCTGTTGAATTAGGCATGGAAAAAAATCATAAAAATATAGAAGGATTTTTCACAAATAACTTTGCAAGCATCTTTATATTCTCACTTATTTTTCAAGAAAATGAAACTGGATATAGAGAGGATACAAATAGATATGACTTATACTAAAAATACAACACAAAATCTCCAAGAGAGGGCTTACATTCAAAGAAAGTTTTAATTCTTCATCAAAAGGTGAATCACTAAAAGTATATTTACATGTCTTAAGTTAAAATAAATGCTTAAGGTTGTATATATCATTGACTTTGGATTGCATACGCTAGTTAACTAATGTGTCCATTAACCAGCCAACTACTGGTACTAAATAAGAGAGCTTCTGCTGTTTGCAGAAGTCACTTGGGCCCCCAGGGCATATGTTTATAATAGATTCCCTTGCAGTGGTGATGGATATGCTGTTCTAGTGACATTCTTTCATCTAATGTCCCCAGCTGTGTTCAAAACTAATTGACAATGTTCATTTCCAAGGTGCCTGGCTATGCTTAGCAAAAAAAAACTGGCCCAATTTTAGGAATTTCACATGAGATCTCACTTTTTTGACAACTATTTTCTAAATCATTGATCCAACTGTTAATATAGAAATAAGTAAATTCTGCTAAAGAAAAAAAAATTGATGCAATCCTCAAGAAAAGGAACATAGAATATTAGATAACCAGGTGGGAAAGGGCTTTACATGTCATATGACCCATCCAATTCATTAAGAATAGAGATATACTCAAAGCTGAAGAGGAAAAGGGGAACACAGTTCTAAGTGTCCATATAATAGTAATTATTTTCTGATGGCAATAGAAAATATGTCATCTCAAAACCTGACCTATTAGGTCAAAGGCTGTGATTTCAGCCATCATGGGGAGAGGTTTTCAAGCTACAGTATGATCCACGTGACAACTTTGTTTTCCTTGAAATGATTCAAAAATTAAAATTAAAAGACATATTATGGCAGACAGCTTATATTTTACTTTCTTTGAGTGTTATTTAATTGTGTTTAATTAAAGTAGAATACATTAACTCAGATAACTCTTGTTAACCATATTTAAGGAATATTACAATTCAGTCTGGCAACATAAAACAAAGATCCTTCAATTTTATAGTATATAACTCAGAAAACTTGGTTATAATTCTCATTTCCTATTAATTTTCATAATAAAATCAAAGACATTATCCCATGTGGTTAAATATGTAATAGATTGGCTTTAAATTTTGGATAAATTATAGGTTAAACTTGGAAGTGTTATGACAATTGACATATAAGAATACGTTTGGCTTCACAAGAGCTGGAACATTGGCCTAACAGTTTACTTCACTTTCTGCATACAGTTTTAACAGCATATGAAAATTCATCTTCCTCATCAGTCATTCATCTCTTCTGAGAGATCCAGCCCTTATCCATCCCCAACTCCAGGGTTCTAGATTTTGCTCTCCACTTTTGTCCTCCTAAGAGTTGACTAATAGAGCTAACCTGCAATATCACAATTCCCCAGTGTGGGGTCACATGACACAATATTCTCTGAAAATCCTTAAGTTTCAGATGATGAGTTATATAAAATATGGGTTTCTTTTCAATTCTATAAATATTAAATTCTGTGTATTGGATTAGAATACAGGAGACACAACTTTATTCTTTTCAAAAGAGACAAATTTATATTTACATCCTGTAACATAGGTTAATGAACTGGTCTGGTGTTTTATAAAGTTACACCTTTTAAAAAATTTTTTTAATACAGAAAAATTAACAAAATCATAACAATCTCAGATTATAGGGACATTTAAAAATCATCCAGTCCTATCACTTGCGCTTGAACTCTCTTCACATTTGTCTCACCCAAAAGTTGTTCATTGATTTCAACATTCTTCAGAAATAAGGAATTCTATCTTCTGATGCAGCCTCATCCTATTTCTAGAAAAACTCTTCCAGAGTTATTATGAGAGAAGAAATATGACTCCTGGAGACCACATATGTTTTAAACAAAGGCTCAGAAATTCAAAGAACTACTTATTTCTGAATATTTCCCCTTTCTTCCATTGTCTCAGCATTTACTGAAAGAAGCAAAGAAACCTCAAGCCATGCTCCCCAAATCTCGTTTCCTGCCTATATCTTTAGAAATACCAAAGATGTTCTCTTAGAGTTTTCATATATTATTAGGTGCTATAATCCCCCTACTCAAATATGCATTTCAGCAAATTCTACCTCACAATGTTGCCTATTTTCTTGTGCGT